CCCTTCTCCCAAGTAACTAGCGATAGGACGAGAGGAAATGGCCTCAAGTTGCGCCAGGGGAGGTTTAGATTGGACGTGAGGAAAAATTTCCTTACTGAAAGAGTGGTTAAACATTGAAACAGGCTGCCCAGGGAAGTGGTTGAGTCCCCATCCCTGGAGGTATTTAAAAGACGTGTAGATGAGGCGCTTAGGGACATGGTTTAGTGGGCATGGTGGTATTGGGTTGACAGTTGGATTCGATGATCTTAGAGGTCTTTTCCAAACCTTAATGATTCTATGATTCTAAGTTATGAATGAACTTGAAAATTCACTCATAACTTGTCTAAGCTAAATTCAACATCTAATTCTAATCTAATTGAACACTTCAATAATCCAGGTCACTTCGGTGATACGTTAAACTTCTGAAATTTTGAACTTTGTCAGAAAACATTTCACTCAGCATCCATCTGAAGTATCATTCCTCTCCACATCACAAACATAATGGTTTGCCACTTTTTTTTGATCAATCACCAGGCAGAGAAAGGTGCCAAGAATACTGGACTTAGACACATCATGAATCATCCAAGAGCTATTCAGTGGGAGGAACTCCCAGCTAGGCTACCCTACCCTATGTCTGGCATTGCTAGTAGAAATAGTCTCAAAAAAAGGTTTTGATCAGTTGAAGCAGTTTTTCCTCTTCTATTTTCTACTGATTTTTATTTAAAAACATCACCATGATCACAGAACTGGCTGTCAGTCTTCTCAAACCCAAGACAGAAGTTCTCCCACAGCGGAACAGCACTGCAAGAGGGTTGTCAGTTTTGGTCTTACCCAGAGAATTTAGCTAGTCAGATACAGTTGTCCAATATAAATGAGAATCTTTCTGTATCGTGTGTGATGAGCTACCAGTAGAAGCTGGAGGGTTATTATAATCGGTATATATATCTATGGCAACCCCATAGATTTTTTTCCTCTTCTTCTACCTGCTCCTCAATTTTGATCTCCACCCTGCTCTCTCCACCCTTCACAGACCCTTCCAAGCCCACCTTACAGCCTCCCCAAATCCCTTGGTTCACTTTCTCTACAAACTGCTACCAGTGCGCTCTCCCAGCCAGCACTGAGTAACTTCAAAAAAAATGAGTGGTTTAATTTTCCATAGTCAGTTATTAGGTCCTTCGTGAACAACTGCAAAGTAGCATGAGTCCTTCATTGCCTCATAGTTTCTAATAGAAAGTATGTTCTCCACTGTCATGACACTTAAAGTAAACAATTCTGTGGTACCATCTACTCTGTTATCTCAGCAAGGAATCTCAACATGGGAATGAAAGACAAAACTGATGAGACAAAGGCATACTACCAGTTTTCTCAACTTTCCCTATTTGCTTGCCCATCCCACAACCACGTGAAGCATCCAGACAGGAAACAACATGGCCCATAGCTACTTCACTCCTTGCATATAGCCTGAAGGGCTATAAGGCATGCTGGCACAGATCCATGAAGTTACTAAGGCATCAACATCATAATGACCTAGATAGAAGTTTGAAATATTTGGCATGCTGTGTTTCCAAAAATATGCTAGAGATCTTCAGTGATCCAAACCCTACTCTTTCACAGCACAAAAATCAGGGCAAAAATACTCCTAGGAACCCCAGAAAGGAAAGCGTGCCTTCTATATGAGGATCTGACTTAACCTGCCTTTATTAATAATCTTTGTAAGACTGTTTAATTTTTTGTTATTATTTAAGAAGTGTACAGCAGAGTATTCTAGCTTCCCATTAGATTTCAGATGCCTGCTTTCATTAAAATCAGCAAGGACTAAGTTGACCCAGCATCATGTGCAGGCAAACTGACTATGAAGCAGTGCAACATGTAGTCTAAGAGTGTAAAAGAAACACACATTTATTGAAGGAGTGCTATAGGATACACTAACTATTAGGTTCCACTCCTCCACTGTATTTTCATATAAATTCCACGTGGTTTTCCATCTTTGGCAAGCGCCAGCTGTGACAAACAAGACAATTAAGGCTGCGGTTATCATGCCATCATTACAAACTGATACATTTCTCCAGAGAATGGGAACTGGAGTTTAATTGATAGGGGATTATGATGATGATTAGCAAGTGTAGTAATGGAATAACACATGCATCATCACATTAGGTGTTCAGCAACTACAGTGGGGAGAGATGTTGAAACACTTCTAAGTATACAATTACAGCACAGGCACAAAGATGGGATCCAGAACACTGCTTCCATAAGGTATGGAAATGTTCGGTCCCTGCTGCCTGCCAGTATTACACTGACCAAAGACCAGTAAAGTATATGCTCTGCATAAGACTCCTCTAAACTTCTCATGGTGTGGGGGTTGGTTTGTTTGTTTTTAAACAAAAACTTTTTTTTTTATTTTTTAAACAAAAAGCTAATTTTATGCTTATTGTATGAGCTGCAAACAACTTGAAGGAAATCAATGAGTAACCAAAGCAAAAGCAGCTGATACTTACAAAATAAGCCAAAACAAATTTTTAATCTCATTTTCATGAAGTACTGGGAAAAATAAAACAGGCCTTTAGAAGATGCTTACCTCATCTGCAGTTACCGTCATGACACTTCTGCTTTTCTTCATTATCGAGATTAAAGTGCACCCCGTTATAAAGAACTCGTATTCAATCCAATTTCTTCAGACAGGCAACCTGAAAGAAAAAAAAATGTATTTTTTAATAACAAACTGTTTTGATAATAAACTATGGAGCTAACTGCTAACACCACAGCTGATTTATAACTTACTGTCCATTTTCATAAAAGACTTGGCAGCAGATGTTATGCAAGTGTAGCTCTCTATTAGTGAAAGGACGATTCAATTTTTAGTAAAATCATGTTAAAAGTAACCAGTATTCACAAGGCTCTGCAATCTAAGCAAGCCCTGAAACATGTCTAGTAATACAGGATCAAAGCTAACGGGTTCTACTTGCAGAGAATTTTTCTTTAAATGAGCCCTTTTCACAGGTACAGTATAGAAGGTCTCCAAGAATGGCTTGAGCTGGCTCTCACAGAAGAAAAGGAATTGCATTTGTATGCAATTCTAAGATTTAATCATAACTCACAAACATTATTTATTATCACACTGGCATGCACACACCACTTCAGCCACTAAATTACAGCCTTCTGTAGAGGGTAACACTGCAGCCACTTTGAACTATGCAAAAGTGCTAAGGGGAATGAAACACAGCCGAGCAGCTGAAGCAGCAGGGGAAACCAGCACATGGGAACAAACCCCCTTCGAGTGTTCCCAGGCCCCCTGCTCTTTCTTGCTGTGGATTTAGTTCTCATAAAAAAAGCTAGTCATGATTATACAGAGAGAACACTGAGGGTTGTGGGTTTTTTCTTTTCTTTCCCCAAAGAACAGGTAGAGCTGGAGTGCCACTTTTTCTGTGCTGACAAATTTTCTCCCCTGCTTGGAAGGATTACCTTTGAGGTAGAAGACTGCTGAAGGGCCACTGTTTCTAAACTTCGGTGCTGAAGCCACCGCAAAAAGCTGTGCAACGGTTTCAGGCTTGGTGATGTTAGACTTCTAACATGATGCTCACTCCCTGAGAAATCAGGGATTTTGAACTGTATTCAGGTCACCTGTTCATGCAGTGCAAGTTCAGGAGAGCAATAAGGAATTCAGACTGCCTGCAAAAAAGGGCTGCCAGACCCTGGTGATCTACCCAGCTGATACGGGGCAGAGGAGGCATCAAAATTTAGGCACCTAATTCTCTTCCCTGCCACTACCAGCAGTCAGGGTCCCAGAAAGCAGGCAGCCTGCACCACTCGCTTTTACTGTGAGGTTCGAAGCCCCGGCAGCAGGTACTGAAAGCCATCTTACACAGCAATTGCTGTTCTTTGGTTCCCACCCCACAATCAATTCAGAAGTCTGTACGCTCAAGCGTGGCAGCTTGGCTTGGCTTCCAGCCACCACACAACTGTGCCATTGAGGGTTCAGATTCAGTTTAATACCATCGTGCCCAGGTTAAACGCTATTTAGCTTGCACCTCTACCTATTTAAATCAAAAAAGCTTACAGAAAAAAGCCACACTAACTCTCAGGCATAGCATCTGAATACAGAGTGGTGCCTCTGATCACAGAGGTCTAAGGACATCACAGTCTCCAGGAGCCAACTGCTCATCTGCTCTCCCATGCCCAAGAGAAGTGCTGTAATGAACCTGCTTCCCTCTAAACCAGATCACTCCGGGGAAAAAAGAAAGAGAGAGAGAGAAAGAGAACAAAACAAACTCAAAGAAAACACACCACCAGCACTGTACTTGAGTCTGCCTGCAGTTCTGGCTGTGGCACAGGCACCTCCAGTTGTTTTCATTTCCTTAGGGTTCATACATCCAACACACATACATCCCTTCATCGCCAGCCAAAGCGTTCGGAGTGCTCAGATCCATGCCAGACATAACTCACTACCATTTCAGCACAAGTGCCAGCACACAGGGCTATACATTCCATCCTGTATGAAGCAGCATTGGAAAAGAGCTGAGGGATTTGTCTTCTAAAGCACCTAAACAGCTTCCCTTCAGAAAAGGATGAACAGGACCATACAGGAGCAAAGGACAGAAAACAACAAAAAGCACTCTGCAATGCCTCCCCCCAGGCTTGCTCTCCTCTCAGCATCCATTGCTGGCTGACACCAGAGCCAGGCCAGTGGGAAAAACAAATTTACGGCCTGATCAAGAACCCTCTTCTTACGACAACAGGTCACATGCATGCACCAGCTAAGCAATCAGGGTGGGTTTAGACATTACAGCAGTGGAATGGCTACTAAAAACCTGACACTTGGCAGCACGGTTGTGTGGCAACGTTACTTCTCTCTGCAAACCTTATCTAGCTTTTGATCAATATTACAATTAGATGAGCAGGCTAGAAGTGAGAAAAGTCATTACCCTATTAGCAGCGTAAAAGTCATGCTACAGTATCAGAATAAAATTCTAGAATAAGTTTAACAATTTTATCCATCTTCAACAATCGGGAGAAACTAAAAAGCCCTGTTGTAAAAGGAATCCAAAACTGACAGCAGACAGCAAATTAGATGATACCATGCAGGTAAAGACAACCATAACAGTGGTATGAATCCACAGACTAGGAAGATATGGCATGACTATTTGCTGCCAGAAATAAACACATATACCTATGTAATATACAGACAAAATTCGTAGAAAGAACAAAAGAAGGAAGCAGTTTCATAAGCAGCAGAACTAAGCAGATTTGTGTCTCAGAGGTGGATCCTTTAGTGCTTAATAAAGTACAAGTTTGAGATGTTCATGACTGCCCTGCTGTGCAGTTTGTGATGCCCAACACAAATGAGCTCACACTGCAGCATGTCCCACAGTGGGACTAACAACTGCATCTCCCTCCTGAATATGTCAGTTCACAAACTGACATAAATAAGTAAGTAAATACATAAAGTAAATAAGTAAACACATAAATAAGTATCCAGGAAAACATCTTTGGAAAAAAATATCTGAAAGAACGAGAGCCTAAAAGTGTCTCCTAAATTTTGCTGAACTTTAGGATCAGAACCAACACTAGGAAACAAGACATGGAGAGATGGACCAGACTGACTAGCAGATCGTGTCTGTGGAAGCCTGAGTCCTCTTATACCACAACTTCCTTTCCTTTATAAATATTTACCAATTTGTCAAAGTAAGTTTAATCAGAACATGAATAATTATAAAAAAAAAAAACTTACACATTTTGTTCCACGTGGATTGCATTTCTGAAGAGCCTACCAAGAAAATCTCAGACTTCCGTTAGTCATGACTAAATTGTTAAAATCTGAGTCATTCTTTTCTTGTGTCTTTACATAAAAGATCTGACACCTGGGACGAACACCTAGGGTAAAAAAAACAACCAAAAACACCCCAAAGAGGCTTACTGGAAAGTTTTTCTCACGCACATTTTCTAGTTCATGCAATCTTTTGTTACAAGCAAAGAGTTTCTCTCCACTACCCAAATTCTCCAAAAAGAAACTATATCCCAGCAGGCTGGTTAAGTGTGGGTAACAAGGAATGCCTAAAAGCAGCAAGGCTTTGCATTTGATATTAGACTACAAAGAAAAGTACTCTTTTAGTGCTGCAGTTGGGTCTAATCCATTTTGCTGGAATATATCCTAGGTAGGGTATGACATTTCTTTTTACACCAAGCTGACCTAGTTCTTCCACCTGAACTTTTTTGTGCTCCACGACCATGTCTTTCAAAAATGACAGTAAACACTCCAGCAATTTCAGAGTGATAAAGCCTTATAGCAAAGGTATGAATTAACAGGGTTCAAAACTGGCAACTGACAGTGGTGAGGATACAAGTACATGGATGCATGTGATAAAGCCTGCTTTTCCTACACACTTTTTTAAAAATAGCTATTCAACTCATCCAGTGTGAAATCCACTATTTAAAAAAATTCCTAAAACGCATCTTAATGTGCAAGTTCTGGTATGATTTGAAATACAAGATACACATTTCACCATGTTGCTGTTTTCCCACACATTTTGGCTTCTGCATGGGCAGCTTTAAAGCCACAGGGTTATATGACAAGGAGATTAACCCTCTCACCCCTAATGATACTCCCCTCCTCAAAACACAGACAAGGCAGGGCCAGGAGGATTACATTTTTGCTGCTCGTGCAGTGCTATTTCTTTGGATTAACAAAAGGTTTTGGCAAGCAGAGCTGTTTACCTGGCTGCTTTCATACTCTAAATTCATTTCCTCCCACTTTTCAAGAAGGCAAGACACAAAGATTGAGAGAGAGCGAAAAAACAAAACAAAACCTGGTGAAACTCAGATAATACAGCGCGTTCTGCAGTACCATACCTGTTTCTTCCCAACTGCCAGCAGCGCTGCCCAGGCCGTGACACACATTACTGAGGCAGTATTTTTCCCAGCAACAAAATGCTGATCCTTACAGGTTCAGCAGAACCTGAAGATGATCAGAGATAAAAACAGAAACCTGAATGGTGAATTAATAGAGAAGCTTTACTAAGGAAAGGGCTGGGATGAAGGAGATTATCTGATCACACAGATAATTACATCATTTGCGAGCTGGGATTCAAACAACTTGATTCTCCTTAAAGATCATCAAAACTTCACAGGGTGAAGTACATACTCAGACAGGGTGACAGTCACCAAAAAAAAAAAGTGACAATCTCGGGTCTAGCTCTCCCAGACAAAACACATGGGCTCTTGCTTCAGGCTTAGAAACTGCACACAGTTCCTTGTTAGAAAAATAAACCCTAGGTGGATTTAACACTGGTCAAAGGCAAATTGAGGTATAAATAGCAATTGGTACCTGAACAGCGATGGCTTTGTATTTTACCTTAAACAAAACGAGCAACTTCAAAATGTGAGAGCAATTCTTTGCCCTCGGATTACTAATAAGGTCAACTTGCTTACAAAAAAGGAAATGGAGGTCATGGCCAACTGGTTGCACAGCATGGCAGCAGCACCGCAGGTACTGGAGCTATCCACCTACAGCAGGAACAAACATGCAGTATGTTTACAAGCTGTACATACAACAAATAAAACTTCAAAGAAATACCAGTCAAATGTTTCTGCAGAATTACATTCCCTTGAAAAATTAGTTTCAGG